GAAGACTAAAGATTGAATTTCATATATTCACATATTTTTTCAAGGTGGGGGAGGGGGAGAAGGACAAGATTGACTGAGCAAGTGGAGCGATACAAACGTAACAAAATACGGCACATAATGTGTACGTGTACATATATATACTATCATGTGTCTGCCATAAAACTATCCAAATTCTGGTTCCTCTTACCTCTACTATTGTGGGACAAAATTTGGGATGGCTCAACCTCTGCCATTCAGTGCCTGTTTCCAGCATGGCCATTGTCAGAACACCTGGCTGGTTTATCTGTGAAGATGCACAGAGCCAGATAGCACCTAGTTCTGTAAAACAAAGAGAGAGATTTGATGCAGAGATAGGATTCATTGGTTTCCATTTCAGTACTTCAGGCACAACATGCTGATCTTCTTTGGATGCAAATTCTTAAGCATTTGATGCTTTTTCAGAGATAGTGCCATGTCCAGTGCACCAGATCACTGAATTTAATCTCTTCTAATAGTAAAGATAAATATCAACCAAACATCTGCATCTATATGCCCCTTTTTCTGAGTGCACATGTTCCAGATTCCTAGCCTGCTATTACTGTCTTCACAATGCAGCAAATCAACCTTCTGATCAATTGCGAGCAACTGAGAAAGTCTGCGGTATGAACCCACCGCTATTTAGGAATTCTTATAGCAGTCAAAAACCTACAGGAGACAAGATGTTTAACCAACTGGTGAGAAGAGCAGGGACGTGTGTTTTTGAGGGTACATCAGGTTTTGGAATGTTCTAAGCTGCAATTTACATTCCAGGGTTAGGGAGCACTCCTACCCGGTGATTACTCAGCTCAGCCCTAGCTTCTGAGACCATGCAATCAACGTGTGCCTTCTGCAAAGCAGCATATTCATCTTACGCAGACAAAACTTACAGTGGCTCACTTAAGAAATACAGTATCAGTCCTAATGTAGTCGTGATGAAGGACCCTTTACCCAAGTGAGGGGAAGGCGCAGTCCGACCTAGCACTAGTGAGAGTGTTGGGCCATCTAGTCAGGACACTAAAGATGGGAGGAAGCTGGTAAGAGCTCCCTCAGACTCATCAGTTTGCTGTAGAAATTTTCTGCGTGTTAGAAGTTATCTTTGCTATTGTACTGTGCAGAAACTCCCGCAAATCTGTGTTTTACACATAAACATGATAATAGTTGCTGGTGGTGCTGTTTGGCCCGGCTACAAACTCCTAGGACTTTATTTGGAGTAACAGCTGTAGTCTTTCAGTGAGATCCATTTTCAAAAATCCAGTGAAAGCAGTGCCAGCTTCCAAGATGATCACATTAATGCTGTTTTAATTGCCAGATCTTATCAACATGGCCTGTGCTGGCAAATTGCTGGTTTACCTCTCATTTATATTAATATAAACTAATTTATATGCATTGCATCGGAGTTTTACACTGATCTTGCAAGATTTAAATTTTTTAATCCTTTTTAAATTGGGAGGCAAGTGCTTTTTCTAATAGCATGAAAATAATTTAAAACATTTTTTTACACCCTAAATAGAAATTGGAGCAAGTTAAACTACTTTCCCACTTTACCTATTTATCTTTAACATATAATTTCATACATTCATCCAATATCTTTAGGATTTTTGAAAAAAAAAAAAAAAAAAGGAAGAAAGTACTGGGTTGAGAATGAACAAAATCGGGAGGAGCAAAATTCAGCTGACCTCGAGAGAGAGCAGCAGATCTTTGATTCCCTGATACAAAATTGGGTTTCCAGGCTGATGCCGAATTGGTTCCATTGTAGACAGAATGGAAACAATGTAAAAAGAGGTAACTGCAAAGAACTCGGAT